CATTACCTGCCAGGGGATTGTATGCATAGAAACGGATGCCAAAGTATCTCAAACATGGCAGCAGCTCAGTCTCCACCTGTCGTGTGGTTGCATTATACATGCCCTTCAGAGGAAAACATCAACACTGTTCAAAACTGGCCTATTCGTTCTTCAATAATACTTCATTGACAAATTTCAAAATAGTTATACACTAGACCTTGTATATAGACAATCCATCCATGCATCTATCCACTTACTTGATATACAGTAGGAAGCACCCAGTTATTGTGTTTGCAGATGCAGTAGATTTCTGCCACTTCCCATGATGCATAGTTTGATAAGCCCAGCTGTTTGAATTTGCCCTAAACACCAACAAACAGCTTGAGTTGCATAATTCTGACAGCTTTTGTTTTCTAAAAACATCTAGGTCAGACAGCCATAAACTATCAATAACTCACCGACTGTCAGGCATTTCTCAAAGTGCACGTCTGACGGACAAAGTCTAGACTGTAGTGTGTCATGGAAAGCTCTCGTGACGCACCTCTTTATGCAGCTGGTTGCAGGCCTGTAGTGTGTCCTGAATGGGGTTCTGGTGGTCCGGCGCGTGAAGGTAAAACAGCTCCACACATTGTGTGCGCAGTCGCTTCAGGGACGTTTCCAGCTGATTCCGGACACTTTCTGGTTTGAGTGTCTTTCCCTCCCAGGGGTTTGCTTTAGTCGCGATTCGAACTGATAAACACAAATGAAATGAAAGCACTGAACTTGATCACAAACACACTCCCCTTTTAGACCTTTATTGTTTCAACATACTAATATTTTGATTTCATTTTTTTATTTTCCCATTTTAAAGTTTTAGTATTTGTATCGTTTTTAAATGTCTATGAAGTTTTTATAGATTTTTATTTCAGTTTTAGTTTTGTTATTTTAGCACTTCAAGTTAAATGAAATGAAAATGAGAAATGTTGCCATTAGTATATTTCTATTGATTTTAATATTTCAATTTTTAAATTAGAATTAAAATTAAAAGAGTTTTAACTTTAGTTAATAAGAAATATGTAACAATCACAGACATGAGTGAAAATATCATTTCATGTATTATTATTATGTACCTCATTTTGCACTGTTTCTTGGTATTTTTAAATTCCCTCCAGCATATTTCTTCTTATTTGTTGCCACTTGATATATTATTTAATATGATTTGTCTCTGAATTAAAATAATAAGAATACATTTAAAAATATTAGAATTGTAATAAAAAAGTATAACATACTAAATATAAAATACTATACAATATTAATTAAAACAGAATTAAATACTGCTCCTACTAATCCTACTAATTATTTATCTTAATTATTATTTAATTATAATTTATAATTGCTTAGTATTTGAATGTATTGTTTTCATTTATAATAATAATAATAACAACAATTATTATTATTATTATAAATAAAAATAATAGAATACATACATTAACATACTAAAAATAAAATATAAAATAAACAAATATCAAATACTACACAATATTAATTAAACAGAATTAAATACTACTACTACTACTAATAATAATTATTATTATTATAAATAAAACAATACATTAAAATACTAAGCAATAATAAATAATAATTAAAATAAACAATATAATAAAATAAAAAAATGCATTTCTTAAAAAAAAGGAACTGGTCATCCAAGTATTTGATCAATTTTATGCACAGGCCTAATACACACTGCAGAAATACTACGATCATTATGGAAGTGTGCTACTGCTAATATATAAACTGCTTATTCTTTGAATTTACAACTCAACATGTCACGTGATCTTCCCACTCGTGTCTGTGGTGATCAGTCACTAGTTAGTAGGTGCGTTCGACTTCATGCAGCGCCGCGCAAACCGATCGGCGGCTGACTTTAAGCAGTGCATGTCGGTTAGAAATTTAGTCCTTCTTGAACCGGCGCCGACGCCACGTCACTGTCACGTGTGGCATCAAAGTACCGCGATAGCATTTCGAGAGCAGCCGGCTGACTCAGCTGGCGCAGCTTTTTCAGAGCATGTGTTTCTTCTATGTTTCATGAGTTCTATTAAACATTCTTGAAAAGAATTCCACACAATATTTTCCTGGAGTGACGCGTCCACATGTGCTCTAAATAGCAGCTGATGTTTTTATAGGTGTGTTTTAGTGTGTAAGCGCACTGGGCTCATGGCAGAGGTGTTGAACCCTGGTTGGCATTGACCTCTAGAGTCGGATCAGTGCTCTTAGGGAATGTTTTCCAGGTTCTGTTGTCCCAGAATCCCTGATCCCAGTGCTGCTTCAGCTGTGGCTCGGTGGTGACCCCTCGACAGGCCCGTCCTGCAAGAGGATAACTTGTGATGTCACATGCTGAAGGTTCTGGAATATGGGTAATGCATTGATGGTTTGCTGTTAATTCAAGCAGCATCCATATTAATAAAATATTTTAATTACAAATGAGTATGATGATAGTATTTCAAATATCATCAGCAGAACAAATTGAGTAAAATAATAAATTATGAGTTTTAGTTGGATGTTCATCTGACGTTTTTCTTAAATGTTATTTCTTGTTTTAGAGTGTTTAGAGAACATTGAAAACATTTCCACAATGTTTGCAAAATGAGAAAATTGAATGTTCTCTAAATGGTTGCATAACCAAGGAAAATGTTTTGAATGGAAATAATGTTTTTATAACTTAATGGAAACTTTAGCAAAATGTTTTTTTTAGTTATTATTATTATTATTACAAATTAGTTTGATGATCCAGTTTGAGTAAAAGTGAAAATGCTATGTTATTACATGTTAAATAATTCAAATAAAATCATTAATTAAAATAAAAATAGTGCTTAAATATTATAAACATGATATTATATTAAGTATTATAAATGATCTAATAAAATATTTATTATATAACAATTTTATTACAAACAGATCACTTTGGCTAACATTCTGGCAAAGTTATGCAGAAACCGTCTTCCAGTATCATTCATAAAACATTCATTCAAAGTTGTCTGGTCTTTAATAACGTTACAAAACGTAAGCACTTTGTTTATATATACATTGTTCATTTTTAAACGTTCTTTTTTTTTAGAACGTGCGGACAAACTTTTAATTATTTATGTTATTTATGCTTTAATTTTTTATTTGCAGGTTTAAATAATAAATAAACACTGATGTTTTTATATGCGCACTTAGACTTGAATATAATCCATCATGGCTCTATTACTGGTCCATTAGAAGGTGTGAACATTAAAACGTGAGTTCATTACAAAATGACCTTCATTTGACTCTGAAATCTGTCTAATAAAGTGTTTTCCTTTGAATTGGGCTCTTTGAAGTGATGCAGTAAATCAGGCTGAAGTAACGAGCTTTACGCTCATTTGTAAGTCATCTGAAGGAGGTCAGTCAGCTCTTCAGCTGCCTTTGCTTGTTTCTGTATGTGTCTCGTTCCTCTCAAAGGACATTCCCTTCACTGCTCCTACAGGAAGACAGTGTCCTGAGGGCATTTGGATCTCGGTTGGATCTGAGAGTCTTCTTCCTCCTGTCATCTGCTGCTGCGCTTTCAGTCCGCGCTCCGCGCGCGTTAATATGGACGCAGATTAGTTTGTTTTAACGCTTTAAGTGTGTTATTTAGGTGCAGGGCTCTTTCAGAACAGCGTGGGAGCATGGATATGTTATGTTACTCTTTAATCATTCTAATTCATGGAATTTATGCAGCATCCCGTTCTGGAAAAAACCTGATGCCGCACATGTGAGTAACTGTCTTTGGTTGATATTGCGCCCGCTTCAGAATATTATTATTATTAGGTACTAGTTAGCTTTCACAATAAATGAAGTATTTAATGAACGAAGTTACGTCTCATGTTCGTGCTCATATTTATTAGTTTCTACGTTATTTTAATTAAAGCAAACTAGAAATGTTTTTATTAATTTTGGAAACTGTCTTTGACGCGTATTTACGCGTATTTTTGGTGAACTTGTGAGACGCTGGTTGAGGGTCAATCGGAACGTTCTCAGAATACTTTGGCTAACGTTCTGGTAAGGTTCAGTAACTTTAATAGATCGTCCGTTCAAAGTTGTATAGTCTTTAATAGCTTTTAATATCAGAAACGTTAACTTGAACATCATTCATGGAACGTTTACATTTTTTAAAACGTTATTACTTCCTAGTTCTCAGAACTTTGGCTAACGTTCTGGAAAGGTTGTTTCAAAGTTATGAACAAACGTTCTTCCAGTAACGTTAATAGAACGTTTTGTTCAAAGTTATCCGGTCTTTAATAGTTTTCTTAAACCATTAGCACAAAAACATTAGCTATTCATACTGGACATTTTGAATGGTCAGAGTACATTCAGAAATAATGTTTTTAGAACTTATTTGTTAGAACATTTGTTAGCTGGGTTTTGGAAAGTTTGGAGATCATTCAAAAGTAATGTTCACATAATGTTTGCAAAATGATCAAATGGAACACGAATAAAAAATTTTTTTTTTTTTTTTTAAAAACTGGATGTTTTGAATGTCTGGAGAACATTCAGAAATAATATTTTGAGTGGTTAACAGAAATGAGTGATTAACAGTAATGACACAGACAAAGCACACTTTCAGGTCTCTGTAACACAATCTGCCAATAATCCCAGACATGAAACTAATCGCCTGGAGGTTCACTGTGAACTGCCTATGTTTGAGGATATAAAACATTTTTACAGAGTGACTAATATATCAGTCTGGGAACTTAAGCTGTGTAAATCGTCTATCTTGTCATCTGTAAGTGCTGAGATGATTCAGGTGATTTATTGGCATTTGCTTATTATATTAATGATCACTATTGCTCAATCTGACATGGAGCGTCTTAAGTAATTGACAGTCTTACAACTTGTTCCGCTGTCAAATTCATTCGAGTTTATTCAAATTACATGGAAGGACTGTTGAAAATTCCAGCTGACTAAATGATAAATGTTTATGATCCTCTATGTTTGGATTGGTGTGACCTAGTGGTCTAATATCTGGGCTTGTAACCAAAATGTTGTAGGTTCTTCTTCAAGACGTTTCACTTCAGCTTGCTCAATGAGAACTGAACCTGCAGGTTAACTGAAGTGTGTGTTTTATCTCCAGGCCAAATGTGTGTACTGAGCAGGAGGTGAAGCTTGTGGCCCAGATGCAGCCGTGCGTCCAGGCCTTCACGCGGATGGTTAAAGCCTGGAAACAGGGATGCCAGGGACAGTCGTGGTGCATGGGCTACGAGAGGAGGGGGGTCGGATATTCACGCATAGAAAACACTGACTGCACCATCATCTTTATGTAAAAATAAACTTAGTGTCTGATAAGTTAAAATCAACTGCTACTCTTACCATTTCTGTAGTATATAGCATGCATATTACGTGTAGTAAGCACACTTTCTACATAAATGTGATCTATTCAGAATGTTTGTAGAAAGAAACAGAAGCACCAAACACAATCTCTTTTTGATTGTACTGTCAAAAGTAAAGATATTTTAATGCAAACCTGTATTAAAAATGTAAAATAAGCATTTCTGATACATACTACAATGATGTAGGGATTTTATTGTTGCATACTGTTTGACGTATTTAAAAAAAATAGTGCACAGTATATGCATTTGTTCAAATCTTTATCCTTAAAGTCATGCGGCAACAATGTAGTGTAGTTTTGTTTGAAATGCTTATTGTTGCACACATTTTAACATATTTTTAAAAAACAGTATGCACTATATGCTGTGCGGTTTGCATTTGTTCGAATCCTTGTCCATAATGTCATGAGACAACAGTGAAGTGTAGTACTTTAGAAATGTTTATTGTTGCATAATCTTTCACATACTTTTTTTTTTGCCTTGTGCACTCCACACTTCCCTTCTGAAACATCAGAAAAGGCCATTTTCTTCTCATGCGTTACCTTTGTTCTCTAATCAGACTCTTTTAAGTGTAAGGTGTAGTTACGCTCTTGATGAAAGCAAGCAATTTGACAGGCATCTCCAGAGGGTCTCGGCAAGACAGAAGGCAAACGCCCTGTGCTCACGCTTTGACAACCCTCCCCTCACAACGGCTCTGTATACTTAGCATGTGAGAGACCCAGGCCCTGCAATTAGGTGCTATAAACAAAGGGCACAGGGTTACGACTCTGGAGCCGAGATGCAGGACTGTAAACTACAGGGAGCGGGAAACTCTGGATCTCACGTTCACAGAAAGCATCATTAAAGGGTGGATAAGAGAGAAGTGTCGCTGATTACAGGCTCATAAGTTTGTGTTTTCACACATCGGAGCTCATCCACAAACATTCGTCATGACCTGATCTCTCATTCACTGACTAACCACAAACACACACCGAACGGCCTTTTAATAGCTCACAGAGAGAAAAAGGGATAAACGCTAAAAGCGGCTGATGACAGACTTGCGTGTGTACTCATAAAGAAAGTTTACGGGTCTTAATCTTTACCTGTTGGCCAACTGGAAAAACAAATTAAAAACCATGCATATTTTCTTTCTTTCTTTCTTTCTTTCTTTCTTTCTTAACGATAGACTGGTTTCTTATATGATGCATGTAGTGTGTAACAAATAGTTTTGTGCTGTTCAATATGCATTTTTTTGGCTTCTTTTTTCTTCTTTTTTTTATTAAAAAGTAGTTTACTGAACAAATTGTTGCTCTGTCTTTAAATAAATTCTATTATAATACTTATAATTACAGTTTTCTTAGGGATAAAATCTACCTCAGCTAATGCTGCAAGCTATAGGGAGCCATATTGCTATAATATTAAAAGTTACAATTAACAGCCCAAACTATTAAATTCAATTGCCGTTTATTTTTTTTAGATATAATAATCAACATTTAAATAAAAAACTTGTATGCAAACATGTAAATTGCACATATGGCAGTTTTTACATTAATTATAACATTTCTATTCATTGTTGAAATAGAATCAATTAAACAGGGTCTGTCATAACTTGTTTTCATGACAGATTTATTTAAACATACAATAAATACTTAAGACATCACTAACAGGTTAAGTAAAATATAATGAATATATAGGCTATTATTTAGCTAAATCAGAGTTGCCAAGTCCATATGTTTTCCCGCAGAATTAGGATACTTTTACACTTTTGCCATGTGTTGTTTTTTAGGACGAGGGTTAAAGGGATAGTTCACCCAAAAATGAAAATTACCCCATGATTTACTTACCCCCAAGTCATCCTAGGTGATTTCCTTCTTTCAGATGAAAGTTATATTAAAAAATATCCTGGCTCTTCTAAGCTTTATAATAGCAGTGAATGGTGGTCCAGATTTTGAAGCAAAATAAAGTACGTCCATCCATCATAAAAAAGTGCTCCATGCACACGGCTCCAGTGGGTTAATAAAGACCTTCTGAAGTCAAGCAATGTGTTTGTGTAAGAAAAATATCCAGTGGGTCCAGTGGGTTAATAAAGGCCTTCTGAAGTCAAGCAATGTGTTTGTGTAAGAAAAATATTAAAAACTTCATAAATCGTATGCTCTGGCTTCCACTAACTGTTGTACGCACATTCACAAGCGAATGACAGAGGGGAAACCAAGGAAAAAACATAATTGGAGTAGTTTTGATTAGCAGTTAGTTTGGTTTTGTTTCGCAGACCTGGCAACCTTCAAATGCTCTTCTCTAGAGTTAATTTCTCTTACAAACAAACGAGCTGTGGACACTGATGACTTGCCTGAGATAAATGTAATGCTACATGACATTTTGTTTACAAGCTGTTTTACTGATATCTTTCCACAGTTGAAAGACTGATTGAGCTATTATATGAAACATGCGATGTACATTCATGTTTTTATTGTGTTATAACTAGTAGTAAAGAAGAAGGGATGATCGCTTTCACTCGCTGTTTAACCTGAGGTGCCTACAGCGATCTGTCACGCTACGTCAAAGAGTGTCAAAATGGCATGTATTGTTTGAATTTCCTTAAAAAATGGATAGGATTTGAAAGATGAGACTTATTCTTATCGAAAGCAGCAATATATAAAACTGGAAGTTTCAGATTAAGTTCTGCACATACAGTGGTTAAAACAATATATATATAATGTATGTATTCATTGTACCATACAGTCTGACAGAAGGTCATTTTTGCAGTTAGAGAGTGAGTGTGTAGGACAATATTAAGAACATAGAAAGATTTCTTCCTTTTTTCCTCACAGAACGGCTTACTATACTGCATACAGACAGGTGTATCGACAGGAGCACCAGACGGTTTACAAGTGCTGCCCAGGATGGTCACAGCTCAACGGGGAGGCCGGATGCCTATATCGTAAGTCTTCTTAAAATGCCACGCTATATAAAATCACAGTATTTACTGAAAAAGTGCACAAATGCCCTTGTGTTAAGCATGTACCTATGAGCGTCAATGACAGAAATCTGTATTTATGATCATTTTGAGGCCGTTTTTTGGACAGTGAATGCCTGATTATGCAGCTATAGAGGAGGTACAGATGGAGTTAGTGATTAAAGGGGTCATATGATGCTACATGCACTTTTACAAGTTGTTTGAACTGAAATGTGTGTTGGCAGTGTGTGTACACAACCACTCTAAAATGATAAAAATCCACCCATTGTTTTTTTTTAATCACTTGTGGAAAATGGGCATCCTATGACCCCTTTAAGAGTTTCATGCTCCAGGTAATTCTTTTTACTGTGGTGTAAATGTGTCCAGATTATAGATTAGAGAGTGTTTCAACTCTAACATGAAGGTTCATGTATTTTTTTTTTTTTGCATGTTTGCGACTGTTAAACCATGAACTAGTCACACATTCCATTCCATCCCACCTGTCCACTGTGGAATTAGGAAATTAGTGTCAAGATTTGCTGTAATCCTCTTGCTTGTGGATTCTGTATTGCTTTATGGGTTTGACTAGAGTCAGTGCTTTATGGTGATTTAGCAGGCTGCAGACTGGAGAAAAATTTGCACAGATTAGTTGCACCACTTGTAGTGTGGACTGGTGTGGTTGCTTACTATTCAAACTCTCTGAAATGTGCTGTTCTTTTGAAATTTCTATTCATCAAAGAATCCTGAAAAAAAAGAATATAATTAAACTAAAATATTTAGCAGCACAACTGTTTTCAATATTGAAAATAATAAGAAATGTTGATTGAGCAGCAAATCAGCATATTGGAATGATTTTTGAAGGATCACTGAAGACTGGAGTAATGATGCTGAAAATTCAGCTTTGCATCAGGAATAAATGACATTTTAAAATATATTCAAATAAAAAAAACAGTTATTTTAAATTATAATAATATTTCACTGTTTAACTGTATTTTTGCTGAAATAAATACAGCCTTGGTGAGCATTAGAGACTTCTTTCAAAAACATGAAAAAATCATTCAAAATTTTGAGCACTGGTGTAATACGTCTATGGGATTTTTGCTCGTTTTATTGTATGCCAGGTAAAAATAAGTCTGTTTTGTACTGTAATAGCACACCTCTCATAAAGCTGCAGATCTGAAGCATCATCATGTAGTACATGGGATGAATTACACACCACATTTGAATACTTAGGGTTTGTGGTTTAGTTTAAATGATTCTAATTGTCATGCTTGCCTTAGCAACAAAGCCCTGATCTCACTTTGTCTGAATTTGTTTTACTTTCTAAAGCCAAAAGGCCCGGTTTGTAATTGGATTTCAGCAGCTCATCCCGTCTGCTGTCTGGTCTGGGTGGGGTCTTGTCATTGTCATTGTTCTGGTAACAAGAGAGCTCCTCTGGTTTGTCTTTTCGGAGGAGTTTTGCTGTGTCTAAATGGACCAGTTGGGAATCCTTTGATAGGATTTTATAGGACTGTCATAGTCTGCATACTTCCACAAGCACCCCTGACGAAGAGTAGCCTAGCTATGGACCCTTATTAGGCCATGATATACTCACAGCGAGTAAAAAGGAGTTTAACATACCTGAACAGTGATATACCAAGGTGCTCTGTCCAGTGGCGTTTTAAGTTGAGTAAGAAGTTTAAAAGGAGCAGTTCACCCAAAAATGGAAATTTGCTGTTAATTTACTCACCCTCAGGCCATCCAAGATCTAGGTGACTAAAAAGACAATTTTTAGCTGAAACCATGGTCCTTGGTGATTCATTAAATGCAGGTCAGTTTGCCTGTTTTGAGAATTAAAAAAACCTTTTGTATCATCTAAAACAGTTTGTGGCTCGATCAGCACAGATCTACAAGTTACTCAAAACACACTTTTGGACGCCTGACAGTCACTCCGACTCGAAATGAGTCAAAATACCAGCGTATATGATCCTATGACGCCAACAGTCCCCCGACAGTCACTGAACTGAGGAAACAGTTCGACTCTGACCAAAGACGATGAGCGGGTGAGGCGGTGAACTGAGCACTTGAACGAAGGCCATGTTTTTATAGTTTCTCATTGCTTATGTAAAAAGTTGAGCTGATGAAGACTAGTTAATTCAATTTATATGCTTTAGACATGCTTCATTATTGGGTGCTTTAGTAATATAATTGCGTATACATTACGTCATAACATGATAATGTAAAATAACTAGTGAATTAAACCAGTTCATTGAAAAGAATTCAGAAAATAATTGGACTTCCCTAATTGCCTGAGGCTCTGTAAATAACGTTCAGTTTCATGCACAGACTGATCATTTTGCTTCATAAGACTTCATTATATCGTCAGAAGCCACGGGTATTCGTTTTGTGTTCGTTGATATGCCTTTTTGATTCTCAAAAATGGGCAGCTGTTGACTTGCATTTTATGAATCATCAATGACTACGGTTTCAGACAATAATCTTCTTTACTGTTCTGCTGAAGAAAAAAAAACCCACTGACATCCTGAATGGCCTGAGGTTGAGTAAATTAACAGCAAATTTTCATTTTGGGTGAACTGTCCCTTTAATTCCAAAAGTTTCAATAAATGAATGTTCTGCCCTACATGGCATATTTTTAGTGTTTTTTTCACTTGATGATCCTCGTGTTCATTGTCAAATCAAGCCTGGCGTCTATCCTGACTAAGACTGAGTCTGTTGTTCTCTTTTGGATGAAGGGACTCTATGGTCCCAGAAGTGGTTTTGAGACTCCAGGTCACATTCGGTCAAAACAGTTCCTTGTACCCAAAGCCCCCTAAACTAAATCCTTCTCTTAATCAAGTTAACATCCACAGTTCGTTTTTATCCCGGACTCGTGGCGGCTCTAGTGGTCTCATGCCAGAATGACTGACAGTTGCATAACAGTTTATCCTGCAAGTTGTGATTTTCTCTGGAGTCTTATTACTAGAGCCAACACAAACCTCAAAGACCCCTTTGTCTCTCAGAGAAGGTGAAACTGCTCATTATACCTGCAAAATGTAGGCCTCGTCCCCCGATCCAGCTTTGGTTTGTTTTTAAACACGCTCAGCATGCATTCCTGTACACCGCTTAACATCTTTTCCTCTTCTGCGTCAGTATCTGTTGCCTTTAAACCGCGCTCGGCTTTTATCTCTGCAACTTGAGACCTGGAAGCACTTTAAGAAATGGGACAAACTAATCACTTCTTTTTCTGAGCCACTGAACATGGACAAAACACGGGTTGATGCTCACACCAGAAATCCCCCGTCTGACTGGCACACGTACAGAACGTCTGTCTTCACAACCTTTTCGTTCAGCGTGATTCACTGGCCAGCTGGGATGGACAATCAAGAGGCTGTTGGATTTGCAGCGGCAGTAAAGTGTGTGGCAGAAAAGGCAGTTTGGATCTTGTTAAGGAGTCGAAAGGTCGTCTCTGAGGTATTGCCGTCATTTAGTGATCTGCTTGATAAAAGGAAGCGTGCAGTGATGGCTTTTCTTTGCTTTGCCCCCTAAATGCTAATTAGTTTTAATGTAGCGGTTCTCAACCTTTTTGTCTCTGAGGACCTCCATCATCCTTGACAATATTTGAAGGCCTCAAACTAGGAGCTGCAATTTTAATTCAATATTTATATAGAATTATTAATGATTAAAATAATAACATTCCATAATTCCAGAAGTTTCAATAACTGAATGTTTAGAGAATTTAGAGAAATTACTGTAGGAGTGGCGAATTAAATATTTATAATATTGTTATGGGTTATATTTATGATAATATTGAATTTAATTATTTAAATAATTAATAAAAAATAATAATAAACAATTCAAATAATTAAATTTTGCAATGCCAGAAGTTTCAATAACTGAATGTTCTTCAGGGTTTAATTTTTTATTTTTTTTATTACCAAATGAATTTACAGAAAATAGGAGTGGCAATTTAATTTGTTTAATTAAATATTTATTTAAATATTATAAATTATATTTATAACAATATACAATATTAAAATAATTAAATAGAGTAAGTACAATAATAATAAATATAATACTTAAAATGAATTTAGCAATTTACACATTTCATTACCAGTGAATTTAAAACTTAGTCGTTCGTGATAACTTGTATTTATTTATTTATTTGTTTGTTTATTTATATTTTATATTCACAAATAGCATTTTCTACCTAAAATATTTTAGCACTTGACTAAATTACAAAAAAGTTTATTAAGTGTAGATTTTTTATTTTATTTTTTTTTTGCGGTTGCCAGGTCTAGAAATCACACTTTTGAAATTCCCTCATATATCCAGGTTTTCCAATGTGACTAAAACATGTAATTCTAAAGAACAAAACAAAATAAAACTAAGAAACTAATACAAAATAAGAACAAGAATAAGACATCAGTTTACATCTTGTTTTTATTTTCTGTTTTAGCTTGTTTTAAAGCATGTTTAGTGTTATCTAAAATCTTTTAAGCCATCTTGCCCCCCAGTGGGTCTAAAGAACACTTCTTCTCATGAGCTTCCTCTGATGAGAGTACTGTATCTCAAATCTTTGGCCTTAGGACCCTGATTTAACATTTTGGCAACCCAGCACAGCGTCAAAATTGTTTATTGTGCAAAAGCAAATAAAATGTCTTTAGAATCAAACACTGAAATGTGTTAATATGACCATGATTAACAAAAATGATTAACATGACATTGGCTGAGTAGGAAAATGACCAATTTAGCAAACTGTAAACAGCAGCAAATGCCTGATTTTCAGTATTTATAGTTTGAGTGTCTGGTTTCGAAATGTCAATTGAATTTTGATGGTTTCATGCTCTTGGGAAGCGATAATTCACTCCATAAAACAAATTGTGGTCAGCATTCAAACTGTATTGTTTATTCTTGTTACAAGTGAGCATTTATTTAAAATAGTCTGCATACTTTTGTTCTTCTTTCTCAAGGATGAGTGCTTGTCACACAATCTGTCAATGTCGGCATCTGTTTCATCCGGCTAACTTCTACCAAGTGATGATGAATTTGTGGCAAAATACTGTAGTTTTTGATTGGACTCATTACCTTTGATATCAACAACAAAACAGATATTATTTTGACTTTTAAAAATTAAAGGATTAATTCATTCAAACATGAAAACCTGTTGAAAATTTACTGATCCTCAGACCATCCAAGATGTAGATCAATTTGTTTCTTCATCAATGTAGCATTACATGACTTGCTCAGCAATGGATCCTCTGCAGTGGATGGGTGCCGTCAGAATGAGAGTCCAAACAGCTGATAAAAACATCACAATAATCCACACCACTCCAGTCCATCAATTAACATCTTGTGAAGTGAAAAGCTATGTGTTTGTAAGAAACAAATCCATCATTAATATGTTTTAACTTTAAACTGTCACTTCTGGACAAAGTATCCTTAATCCATAGTCCATAATCGATAATAACACTTCCTCCAGTGACAAAATCTGTTTAGAACTGTTTTTGCTTTTTAATGGTGCTTGATCTGTGCATATTTCTCACCTGATTCAGACAAGATGATCTTTTCACTGGAGAAAGCAAAATTACAGATGCGTAATATGCGTCCTCTATATTATTTTAACCAGAAGCAACGGTTTGAAATGAACAACTAATGATTATTTTGCTTCTCAGCTTTTCACTTCACAAGACTGATGGACTGGAGTGGTGAGGATTACTTGTGGATTATTGTGATGTTTTTATCAGCTGTTTGGACTCTCAATCTGACGGCACCCATTCACTGCAGAGGATCCACTGGTGAACAAGTGATGGAATGTTACACTTCTCCAAATCTGTTCCCATGAAGAAACAAATTCATCTACATCTTTGATGGCGTGAGGGAGAGTAAATCTTCAGCAAATTTCATTTTTGGGTGAACTATTCCTTTAAAAAGTAGACTTATGATTAGTTGAATTTTATTATTAACATTGTTTTTTTCCCTGCAAGCCACTAGATTTCTTTCTTTTGTCTTGTGCTTTCTTCTTGAGATTTATGTCACTTTGCAGAACTGGAACTCATAAAATAACACACATCAAGGCGCTTCAGGAAAATTGCTTTGGTTTAATTTGGTAAGGCTTGTGAGTGGGATGACAAACAAATTCTGTTTCTCATTCTGGTCTAAATGTCTGCAAAAGTTAATCTTGAAGCTAATTACATTCGGGGTCTTTTGGGGTACGCTACGGACACGCTGAAACCCTGTTTATTTCTTTGTTTCTCAAGTATACCATTTGACTTAATGACTCTGGGTTGTTTTAGAAGTGCCCTCGGTGCTTGAAGCGGGCTTTAGTGAGACTTCCTTCCCTTTTAAGAAAATGTGCACTTGAAAATACTCATCTTTTCTTTAAGGAGCAAAAGTCAGAATTTGAAGTTGGGAGCAGAAAGTGGCAAGTTATTTTGACTGATGCTGACAAAGTGATTTAAAACAGAACTGACCACCAATAGAGGCAATAATGAGTGAATGGAAGCAAGTCTTTGTTGCCGGAGACGGAAATGTCCTGAACGAGGACCAGGAATGTGCCTAACTACTGTCCTGGGTGGTCTGTCCACATGACCAACAATGCCTGTTGTTATAAAGACAGTAATTGTCCATCCATTCTTTCGGGTCTGCTAATGTTTAGAATGGGAATGTGTCCTTGAATTGGTACAATTGGTCATCTAAGGTGAGTGAAGCTCAGCTAATCGCTCACAACAATCCTCGTGGATTTGATTTAATAGACTTGAGTTGAAGGTATTTCAGGGTTTATGAAGATTCATATCATGTTTTGTCTCGATTATCGTGAGTTCCAGCACATCTTATGTAATAATGTATTATGTAATAATATGGGTATTGCCAAAGGTTTATTCATATTCAGATATTTCAAAAGGAAATGCTAATGCTCCAGAATGTTTTGATCCTGACTTGTGTAGCTTACTTTGGTTTCTGTTAAACCTTTTTTCATATATTTAGATTGCAATCTTTCAGGTTTTGAAATGCATGATATTTTTGCGTATATATTATATGATGACAAAGACTTTGAGTGACTGGTCAACTGGTCTTAAAAGTGCAATATGATGGTTTTTGCTTTTTGAAAATATTATTCATGTTTTGACATAACTTTCATATTATGACAACATTCACATATCAAAACATGTTACAGTGGTGGTGTAATTTCACATGCTAACATTCAGTGTTATTTTAGTATTATTTATATACTTTTATATTTGTTTGTATTTATTATACAATATGTTAAATATTTTAGTAAATATTTGTTATTTAATATTAAATATTTTAGTAAATGTTAAATAATTTAAATGAGCTTTTATTTTTATATTTTCAATTTCAATTTAATTGTAGTTTTGTCTTTTTTTTTTTTTTAATTTGACATTTCTATATAGTTTTATTTATTTTTTAACATAACATACTGTATATACATACAGTATATAATATAAAACTTATTTCAGTTAGCTGCCAAGTTTTATTTTATTTAATTTTATCTTGTTCTGTTTTATTTCAGTTATTTACAATTATTTTTAATAGTTTTAGTTAACATTAACAGCAGTAATGTATTTGTGTTGGTGATGTGGATTTGAAACTGTCTCTGATAGTTAATCTAAGATATTCATACAACTCTATTGTTATACTCTCTGTTTATTGCAAGAGTTTGTCAGTTTTCAGGAGTGAGCAAGAGTGTTTTGTCTTCAGGTGTTAACAGGCTAATAGTACAACAGAAACCGCTGCTGAGGTCTCATGTCAGCTTCCAGGTGTAAAGGCGTGTGATCAGCATCTCTTTGTGTCTGTGTGTCTCTGACAGCTGTGTGCAGTTACGGCGTGTGCTTTAATGGAGGTCAGTGCAGAGAAGGTTCTGCTCAACTCTGCCACTGTCCGGCCGGATTCAGCGGTCCGAGTTGCCAGTACGGTAAGCCAATTTCCAATGGTTAAACACTCCAGCCACGTTATACATTCACTTTATATTTCTTCACATTTATTTATTTATTTATTTATTTATTGCATAATATTTTATACAACATCTTTCATGTATTATTATTAATAATATAATTATTTATTATTAGTATTCTTGTTAATTATTATACTACTAATAATAATTATTATTGTTAATATGGCAACAGGCTACTATTTATTTTTATTTAATGCACCAGGTTTACATTTCACTTCAAGTTGCATTCTGTATATATTCAATAAAGAAGTCTGTATTCTGTATAAAAAAAAAACTTGAATCTTAAAATCCAGTAGCTTTTGTGAGTGCACTCTTTAAATTAACAGTGTAGTTATATTGTTTTTGCAGCATTTCCTTTAAAAAAAAAAAGCAAGTTTCCCCCCTACAGAGCGTTTTCTCGGGCTGTTTGAGTCTCTAATGTATTGAAAGCCAAGAATTTTATCTGTAACGGCAGTCACAGCCAGTGAGAGAGGATGCTAATAACGGAGGATGTTGTTTTTTGGTGATAATCTACACACGACAGGAAATTCTTCACAAATCTCGCCCTACATTTCTAGTTACTGTAGTCTCCTCTTTGTCTAGTAGAGTGATAACAGACACTGGTTCCCTTTCAGTCGGTCACTCTCGGAGGGTTACATACGTAACCGAGACGTTTTGCACTGGGATCATGGGTAATCCAAGGGCCGCTTGTGTATCAAAGTGCTGCAGACAGATTCAATTAATTACGCAGCTTTCAGCAACATTATGAGCATCTAAGTTGTCGCTTGCGTATTTGCTTCTAGAGACCCTGGATGCAACTGATGTAGTTTGAAGTGGCGTGACCTGATGGCTTTCGTCTGTTTTCTGCTTCATTTTTTCAACAAGTCTGTTTGCCTCAACCAGCGGTATCTTGAAGACAAAGTCAAATGTGCACAGCTGGTAACCATTGGTCATTTATTCTGGGCAGTTTCTTATGTGTGTGTCGTTAGGAGTGATGCTGATTGATTTGGTCGGCATGCACAAACACATACGAAAACACTAAAAGCCACAATCTATTACAGCAAAGCATAATGGAGACTGCGGCCTAGTTTACCCCATGCATCTTCTTTAATGCCAGACTGACACTGAAAAAAGAGACAATCAGGAAGAAAATATGAGTGAATCTCACGAATCCTGTTAAGCATGTCCTGATCATATTTCACCACGAAATCGAGAGAAAAAAAATAGATTTGCTTGAAGAAAATAAAGGCTGAAGTAAGCTCCTCCTCGTGATAGTTGTGTGGTGGATATTCATTCGTTCATTCATTCTTTCATTCTTTCTTGCTGTTGACGAATTAGTATTAATAATAATAATGCATTAAAAATGGTATTGTATAAAAAATTATACAACACTAATATTTTATACAATGTCATACATTATTTTTATTTCTTACTTTCATGCATATTATTTTTTTGTTTTGTTGTTTTTTTGTTGTATTAATACTAAATGCATGAAAGAAATGTTATTGTATAAAATTATATTATAACACTATATTGTTTAATAATTTTATACAACATTTTTCATGCATTATTATTATTACTATTATTATACTTGCATATTTATTTATTCTTGCTGTTGTCATATTAATAATAATAATGAATGAAAGCTCTTATTGTATAAAATGATACAACTATATATTCTATAATAATTCATGCAATGTCTTTTATTATTATTATTATTGTTGTTGTTGTTGTTATTTTTTAGATTATATTTCATGCACGCATATTTATTTTTAGTTATTCTTGCTGTCGTTGTATTGATATTAATAATAATGCATGATATGTTATACAACACTGTTGTATAATATTTGCATGTAGTATCTTTCATGCATTATTATTATTATATTTCTTTGCTTTCGTGCATATTTATCATTGATTGATTCTTGCTGTTGGTGTAATAATAATAATGCATGAAAGTTATGTTAATGTATAGCATCATACAATACAATATTTTGCATAATAGTTTCATACAATATATTTCATGCATTATTATTGTAGTTGTTGTTATTAATCTACACCGGATGCGACAGCACCGCCCTGTGCCGCAACAGCTAAAGTCGCGACAAAGCAACCTTTGCAAATCATTTGAACTTTGTGTCAGTAGCCTACGTCATAAATAGAATGAGGCATCAGTTTACTGTCAGGAATTTGTTGTGTTGTGCCGCGCTGTATCCAGTGTAGTCAGACAGCATCAATGATTATTTTAGGTTCTGTAGTATTTTGTCACTCGCGTCCGGCGTAGACATGGTGAGAGCCACGCAGATGTACGTTCACTTCTGTGTCTATTTGTGCCTGAAATGACACATACACGTGAAATTGTCAAAATGCATGTCTCTGCAAGTATCCTTGTAAACTCAGTTGCTTATGGCTTTGGTGAAGGTAAACAATTGAGAAAGAAAATGGATGTGTAACAGTATATTCACAGCAGTTTAATGTTCCTGATGCTTTCGGTGCCATGAATGTTAACCAAACAACAAAACACACAGAGAAAAATCACTTTTGTAGCTTTAAAACAGATTTATTAATTTAATTTATACAGTGAAGACTATGCAGTGTTATTTTACATTTCATTATTCAGTTTCTGTGCCTGACTTACCTGAAAAAGACTTACCTGAAAAAATATAAAAAAACTGTTTATTTAATTTGTATCTTTGTTCTGTTATATTCATCTATGCTTGTAACTTGTTTATTTTCTATGCTGATTTACTCATCTACAAAATCACCCCAATCTTTTGATTGATATCGTGTTCATAATTGAATGCGATTCATCTGTGATTATGAACGCGAATTGCCTAGCTTGTCAGTGAACTACGGCTCTGTGTAGTAAATGCCGCTCCATCTGAAAGCAGGTGATGGCGATTTACTACCAATCATGGAACCGGCTTTACTGTTTTTTGTATTTGTATTTGTAAAGAGTTAAATAATAAAGAATTAGATGACAACATTTATATACACAATAAACTATTTACTCAACCAGTCAACCCAAAACAAATAAATAAATAAACCCAAGGGAAAAGGTATGCAAGCGGCACCAAAGGAAAGAAAATAATATAACAAAATCCAAAACTAACTTACAATGAAACCTCTAACCTAACTACAAATAAAAAAGAAAAGAAAAGATCTTCAGCGTTTACACGCCCTATCTAAACTAAACTATCTAACAGAAACAAAACTTACAAGTGTGGCAATGACAGTAATAGCCATATATTATAAAACAATTGCACTGTAAAATAAATGAAAATTAATATTTCCTAGGTATATTATTTTTGCTTTACACTACAGTAGGGAAATTACAATTCTTCTTTCCTAATTTCTACACTTGAAAGAGATATTTTGAATTTGGACTGCATTTAAACCGCTAGCTGTCAGCAATTCATATTGCACTTTTAAGCTTTTATTTTTACAGACACGGCAGTAGAGCTTTTATTTTGAAGGAAAAGTCCAGCTTCAGTGAAAACAGGCTTACAAAAACATGTCTCACTACAAATCTAGTGAAATGCTGTATATCTACTGCGAAAATAAAGCCTAACTGGTGGATGTTGCGTTCCCAAACGTGCGCTAAACTCACATCACGCACATTAAACTAGTTCACTGCATTCATTCACTGTGAACGGAGCCGTTCTGAGGCGTGGAAAACACCGGATCATGAGCTGATCGTCTGAACAAAGCGTGCGCTTTGCTTTGAAACGCGCAGCGAAAACAGACTTGATGAAGGGATTAAACCATATTGTGCTTTCGATTTTAGTTTGTTTGACAGATACTGTGCCAAAGCATAACGGTCCAAACCACAACTTTAAAGACCTTTTATGTTAGAATAAGAAGTTTAAATATATTTTAAAAACTACACTTTTTGCCCGGAAGACCTATCGTTTCATATCGTCATGTGACCTCGATAATATCGAGACAGTTTTGCTATCGCGATATCACGATATTGATAATATCGTTACATCCCTAGTATATAGAAATATGATATACATTATTATAATTATAATAATGATTATACAGCCCCTTATACACCTCCTACAGCCCCTTCTGGGCTTGGCCCCTATAATAATTGCAAAATACTCAACAGCTGGTGTTGTAAAGGTAAAAGATTTGAATTTGATTATATATGCGTTTGAGAGGTCAGAGGGTCATGTTCGGAGTCTGTAGGGTGCTGCAGGGCGTCTGAGCTATTGAACCTGTGCTGAGGGTCTGTTGATGTTAATGGAGGAGGATGTCTAGAGCTGTTGCTGGAGTGTCAGTTTTACAGCAGGTCATGCAAGTCATCAAATGGACATCTGAGCACTGAGACCCTGAGCTATAAATACAGCTTTCAACCTCTGCAGGACACCAGTTAACACTGGCTCCTAGTGAGCTACTGGAGACCTCATTATTAGGCCCGTTTTAGTCACATATTAAGACAGCATCTCTGTCCATGTATCCTTCTTAAATAAGGCAATCCCAAAATACACTGTGGGTGAGAAAGGCAAATGGAATTGAGGTATAAAGTATAAATATACACTACCAGCATGTCTACCAATCAGGTCTGTACGTTTTTAAAAAAAAATTTTTTATGAAAAATACAGAAACAAGTAATATTGTGAAATATTATTACAATTTTAAATAACATTTATATGTGAATATATGTTAAAATGTAATTTATTCCTGTGAGTCAAAGCTGTATCATTACTCCAGTCTTCAGTGTCACATAATCCTTCAGAAATCATTCTAATATTCTGATTTGCTGCTCAAGAAATATTTCATTATCAATACAGGTTGTGTTTTTGAGGTTACATGTCAGTTAGTCGTGGATGTAGTTTGAAAACAGCAACTTTTGGAACAGAACCAAATTAGCAGGGCTAAAATTAGAAGGAGATATCAGAGAATAAAATCAAAATTTCCTATACTAATAAAATCCTAAAAATTGTCATGCCAAATTCAAAAGGGAATCATTTTCTAGT